TCGCTCGCGCGGCTGCATTCTGGACCAATTGTAGTCTCCGAACACTCTTCAGGGGCAGCCCCAAGTAAAGCGCATTACAGTAATGTGCTTACAACGTTTCTTGCCACAGTTGTTAAGTGAATGCAGCTGTTAAGTTAGTAACATAGTTGCTAAGTGAATCTGGTTTCCCTATTGACTTTGCTTGTCAAAAGATTGTAAAGAAGCGATCACATGACCCTGGGACACTGCAACCATCATAAGTATGAGTCAGTTGCCATGTGTTTGAATTTTGATCACCTGACCATGGGTTTGCTGCAATGGTCATAAGTGTGAAAAATGATCATGTCACTTTTTTCAATATTGTGTTGAGGTTCATACATTAGACTAAATTATGGTTTGCTTACTGAATAAAGTACACATGAATTTAGTTCATGGATGCACTTAAATATTTGGATTTAAGAAGGTTGCCAAATGGGTAGGGCAATAATATACACATCAACAAAAATTTGTGTTTGGAAGTTTTTCTTTATTATTATGCTATGCCTGTTTTAGGCTTACAATTCTTACATTCTCAGCTTTTAAATAGCAAGATATGGTGTGGTCATTTTTCAGCAGTCATGGCCTCTGTCTTAGGATCATAAAAAGAAGACCAAAAGCTTCATGCATTAGTGGGTAGATTCATGCAAATCTGTTCAATCAAAAGCAGAAAAACATCATAAAATGAATTAACGATCTATGTGACTTCATGGGAGAAATAGAAATGCAGGGAATATAAACTAAAAAAATGTGAAAAAAAGTTCACATGGTATAGTTCTAGGAAGTACTGCATGCAAACAACTCCTTATCATCTGAACTATGAGAAATATTGGCGGATGACTTTTTCTTGATTTTTTTCCCCACTCTCCTTCTTTTCCATTGCAAAGTGAACATCTTGTGTTTCTGTTTTGCTTTTCGTTTGATCCAGGTTGTAACTTCTATGCTTTTTGTGGAGCACTCTTTGGAATAACCTCAATGATGACCTTGTTAGCTATTTCGGTGGATCGCTACTGTGTGATTACAAAGCCTCTCCAGTCCTTAAAAAGAAGTACAAAGAAACGTTCTTGTATAATCATTATATTTGTCTGGCTCTACTCACTGGGTTGGAGTGTATGTCCATTATTCGGATGGAGTACGTTATCAGTTTTCTTTCATTTTCTTTCTTTCTTTTTACCCTTGTATCTACAGAGTGTGTGTGTGTGTGTGTGTGTGTGCGCGCGCGTGCGCGCGTGCATGCATTTACTCACAATGTTCTAATACTGCCCCCTCCCCCAATTGGGTTGTACAACATCTCCCATTCTCCCCATCAGAATATTGACTGTATTTGTATATTTGTGTGGTATAAATCATACCGATAAGATTGATCGGTATTTTACTTGCAAGCTATTTTAGGGGAGGGGGTTGGTTTATTATACATTTGATGAATGTGTATATGCATATATAGGTATCGTGCATATAGGAGATTTCTACAAAAATACGTTGAAAAAACGCACACCATTTTTTCTGCTAGAAACATAGGGCTGCATGTTGCTTTTTACTTTGTCTTTTATTACTGTATAAGAAACTCAGGGAGACAAATATACCTAATATTCCTTCCTCATCCTATTTTTCCCCACAACAACCATCCTGTATGATAATTTGGGGTGACAGTGAGTAATAGGCCCAAAGCTGATTGGTGATATACAGTGGTGGGATTCAAAAAATTTTACTACCAGTTCTGTGGGCGTGGCTTGATGGAAATGGCTTCGTGGGCGTGGCAGGGGAAGTCCATTCCCCACTCCAGGGGAAAGGTTACTGCAAAATCCCCATTTTCTCCCAATCAACTGGGACTCGGGAGGCAGAGAATAGATGGGGGTGGGGTCACGCAGAGGTGGTGAAACACTTTGAAACACTTCTCCATGATCACACCTCTTTTGGATGCACTGCCATCAGAACAAAATCATGAAGGATTTTCACTAAAAGACTACCTTCTCTGTATGTAGAATCTAACTGCAAATTACAGGATCTCACTCTTTATATCCAGATTTTAAGTAGAAGTCCTTTCCTGGGAACTCATAAATTAAAGTATAAAGCAATGTTAAAATAAAGTCTACAAATAAAACCTCATTTAAAAAAAAACCCTCTCAAAGCCAGTTTAAATTAGGCAAAATATTTTCCATACATATATGAAAGCACTAACTGATGATCAAAAGCTCTGTTGATCAAAAATACTCCTGTTTGTTTTTTAAAAAAAAATATTTAAACATTTATGGGCAAGGAAGCATTAGAAATTAAATAAAATTATTCCTTACTTTAGCCATTGTATTCTATATAGATCATCTACAAGGCAAATATACATACCGGTACCTCTGCTATATTTTTAAAAGATTTAAACCATTTTGAACATAGGAGAATCTGAAGTGAAGTAAAATAAATCCTGTAGTTTAATCTCTGGGTAGTTTTCTGTAAATATTTTTCTGTTTTTAGTGATTCTGCTTTTAGGACTAACGCCTGAAGGATCTTTTAAACACAACTTAATTTTTTGTTTAAAGACTAACATCCCCTACATGAGGTTCCATTTTTCTAAAAGAAACTTCTGTTGACTTTCTATTTGAATAAGTTCCTATTCAAATATAAGAATAAGTTCTTATTCAAATGGAAAAATCAACAGAAATTTTGTTTAGAAAAATGGTTCTGGGTTTGAATCTCACCTACGGGATGAACGTCTCTGAATCAGTGATGGGATTCAAAAGTTTTTACTACTGGTTCTGTGGGCATGGCAGGAGAAGGATACTGTAAAATCTCCATTCCCTCCCCACTCCAGGGGAAGGTTACTGCAAAATCCCCATTTAGAGAGGTCTTTACTGCAGACTGATCATTTGAAAAAGTTCTTATAATCATTTGAATAAGTTCTTTAATGGATAAGTTCTGACTCAAATGGTTAGTTTGCATTAAAAACATTCCCACACCTGTTCCTACAGATATTTTGGACAACCGACATTCAGAGCCATGCTGACTGACATTGATGGGGATTTTAGCCAATGCAACTACCATAGGAGGTCTTCTGGAATGTGAAACTTCATAGTGCAATAAATTATTTCATATTTCGGGACTAAGACTTAAAGAGAAGATGAAGACAACTACATCTATTGAACAGTGTTGCAGTTTCCTTCTTAAATAATACATTCTTACATCTGTTGTTACTTATTTTATGCACTACATCATAAAAATTTAATTAACATTTTTAGGTTCCTATATCCCAGAAGGTTTGATGATATCCTGTACATGGGACTATGTAAGCTATTCTCCCGGAAACAGAAGTTACACCATGTTGCTATGTTGGTGTGTGTTCTTCATTCCTCTTATGATAATCTTCCATTGCTATTTATTCATGTTCCTCACCATCAGAAGTACAGGCAGGTAAGTGTATGCCTGAAAAATATAATTATTAGGAACTCAGGTACATTCCCATTGATTATAAGATGTAATGGTGCATTAAAAACTGAAAAGAGATTCATATTCTTACCAAATTAATATTCCTCCACTATCAGTTAAGACAATATCCTATTATATCCTATCACACAGGAGCCACAAATAAGTGAGTAAGAAAGTCTCTGCTATAGGAACTTAGGAGATAAAATTTAATTCTAAATGGGGAAAACAATCCAGACTCTAAAAGTTGGTCAAATAAAATCTGTTACTTGAAAGCTTAGAAATGAAAGACCATACTGCGATTCTTAGTGTGTCTCACCTTAATTTGAATGCTGAATGCATGGTTTGTATAAATATGATTTTTACTAGTTTTTGTATATTAGATAAGTACAGAAATTATTATTGTATTGAATCATGGCACATTTGGCTTTTTTCAATATTTTACTTACAGCGTTCTCTGTTCTTCTTTGTTTTGGGGTTTTTAAAAATTTTATAGGTTAGTTTCTAAACTTTCTATAAGACTTTTGAATAGATTATATTGTATTGTATTGTACTATATTGTACAGTACAGTACAGTATAATATAGTATAGTATAGTACTGAGGAGAAATTTCCTGACAGTTAGAATAATTAATCAGTGGAACAGCTTGCCTCCAGAAGTTGTGAATGTCCCAACACTGGAAGTCTTTAAGAAAATGTTGGATAAACATTTGTCTGAAATGGTATAAGGTTTTCTGCCTAGGCAGGGGGTTGGACTAGAAGACCTCCAAGCTCCCTTCCAACTCTGCTATTGTATTGTATTCTATATAAACTATAAAAGGGGTGTTAAATNTTATGGGCTGTGAATGAACATAATTCACAGCCCTTGAAATAAAAAGAGGGTTTTGGGGGTTAAGCGTGTGATTTTTACTGTCCCAGGAAGCTTAGGTCAGAACAACAACATTCAATTTCTGAACCAGTAATAACGTTAATTTTAATAATACTTTGTTCTTTTGCTATTTTATTTCCAGAACCACACTACGGCAAGTGGTCGCCCGACTAAAGTGGATGCTCCTGACCATGTCCTATACACTGTAGGCTCTTGTGTTCTGGCCATTGGTTGTGTTGGAATTATAGGAAATCTCCTTGTCCTCTATGCATTTTACAGGTATAGTTGTCACAAGCTAGGGATAGGGATGAAGGAAGAGGGAACAATTCTCCATTGGTGCTCTGTTCAGCCAATAGTTCTTCTGTCCTCTTTTTTTTATTATTCTGCTCCTATAAAACAGCAGATTGGGTGAGATTAAGACGGGCAGGTCTGTTTGTTCCTCTTAACATTACAGCCATTTATTTAGTGGTCATTTGAAGTTAGGAGGGGATTGCAAAAAAGTGACTTATGACACTTATGATGGTTGCAGCATCTCCATGGGTTGCAATCGAATCTGACACTTTTCAAGCAGGATGTACGGGTAGTCCTCAACTTACAACAGTTGTAAAATGTGACTTATGACCGTTTTTCACACTTGAAACCTTTGTGGCATCCCCATGCTCGGATGATTTACATTCGGATGCTTGACAGCTGGTTCATATTTATGACGGTCAGGTGATTTAATTTAACAACTGCAATGTTTCACTTAACAAATGTGGCAAGAAAAGTCGTAAAGTGGGGAAAAACTCAGTTAACAAAGTTTTCACTTAGCAGTCTAAATTTTGGGCTCAACTATGTCATAAGTCGAGGACTACCTGTATTTATCCATACAGGTAAATAGGTACCTGTATTGTTATCCATACAGGTCATAACTCATACCGCAGTGTTTTTTGGGGTCATGATTGCCATTTGTGACTTTCCCAGCATGATTCCAACTAGCAAAGTCAATGGGGAAGCCAGATTTGCTTAGTAACCACATAATCCACTTAAAAGCAGTGATTTGCTTAATAACCAAAAGTCATAAAATTGGGAGTTAATTCTCTCAACTCCTTTCTAAACAATGAAAATTCTCAATGGAGGTCATAAGTTGAGGATACCTGGGTTTGATTTCTAGTTTTAATTTTAAAAAGAATCACAATAAAGTTGGGATGGACTTAAATATCTACAGAAGAAGAAAAATAATTTGAGTGTGAAAGATTTCAGAATTTCCTGTAACTGAGGAACATGCAATTTCTGACTTCTAATTTAATGCATGTTCTACAGTTACCCAGTGCCCTGATTCTCTAATAACCTCTTATGAATGTTGCCACAGATAACTGCAATCAAAATATCTTTTTGTCATGCTAATAAGTTTTGCCTAGTGAACCTCTGAAGGGGTACAGTGGAGTATTGTAGAATATAGAATAGAGTATATAATATAGAGAGAGTAGAGCAGAACAGAAAAGAATTCTTTATTGGCCAAGTGTGAGGAAATTGTCTCTAGTGCTTAAGAGTGTACATATAAACAACGAAGTAATATAATAATAATAAAAATGATGATGTTTAGAGAAGTAGTAGATTTTACATTTATTTCTGCCATTATTTAAATGTTTCACTTTTGCCAAGTATTTTTTCCAGTTTTCTAGATACAGAAGAGTAGTGTACTATATCAACATCTGAACTGTTTTATTCAGGGTTTACAACATTCCTTGGTCAGAAAAAGATACACTACAAACAATTTTCTGATTTGGATTTTAAACATCTGATTATTTAAAAATCATTCTCTGATTACTTAAAAATTATTGTCTGCTTCAGTATTTCAGCTTTCATTTTGATAGGCCTATGTGCAGTTTTATATATCTGATGAATGGTAGTTTGTAACTATAACAGAAACTAACAAAGCACTTTCTTCTCCTTTATATGATTGATGATGACGATAATGGTGAAGCAACAAGAGGCTGAGGACACCTGCAAATTATTTCATCATGAATTTAGCTGCAAGTGACTTTCTGATGTCTGCAACACAAGCTCCAGTCTGCTTTTTCAACAGTCTGTATACGGAGTGGGTTCTTGGAGATGCAGGTGCTTTCCCAATAGTTTTACATTTTCCAGTTGCATCAAGTTTGTCTGATGTGTTATCTGCAAATGGAATTATAAGTTTGTATACCTATTACCAAACAAGACTGTATATTTTTAACCAGCCTTAACCTTTGATCAGCAAATTAATTCCTTTTTTTCCACCTCTCCCAAAGGAAAGGAATTTGTAATATGTAATAATTGCACAATTACCATATTTTTTGGACTATAAGACGCACCAAGATTTTGAAGAGGCAAATTTTTAAAAAAGCAGACCTCCCCAAAACAGCCCATTTTTTTGTGAAAATGGGCCCATTTTTTGTCAAAAAAAAAAGGGCATGCATAGCCTTTAGGAGGCTTATAGAATGCTTCTGGGATCTGGGGAGGGCAAAAATGAGCAAAAAGTGGACTGGTTTTTGCTTGTTTTTGCCCCCCCCCCAGCCCCCAGGAGCACTCTGGAAGCCTCCTAAAGGCTATGCATGCCCTTTTTTTTTTGACAAAAAATGG